GGCGGTTAACTCAATCATTGTGCTTGCATCTTGAATTCTCGTTTCTGAGACACAGCACACATCAATGCCAAGCGAGTCCAGTGTGAGTGCAAGAGCAGCTTGTTGTCCTGCTTGCTTCAGAGTGCGAACATTGAAAGCGGCCAGATAGAGTGGGTGTCGAGGCTTGAGGACTGATCTGGAGATTCCTGAAGATGTCGGCGCCATGTGACGAGCAGACGCTGCACGCAAAACCGATGCATGACGAACGGAGTCATCAGTCCTAAGTGCTGGGCCTACAAGGAGAGAGTTATTAATGGGGTGGGGAGAGGGGGAAGAAAAAGTATGTGAAGGAGAAAGAAGGGAGGCGTCAGCAGTAGCCTCTTTTCACTTACCCGCCCTGCTGTATGCAGCAAGTAAGGCGACCCGGCTGATGGCACCACGCGACGGCCGATGTGGCATGAGTTTATTTGTGTATGTGCAATTCATGGCTGTACGTGTGCTGGGATACTGCCAGGGCGCCCACACCTAGACAGGAGAACGATTAGGGTCCTCAACCAAAGCCTTTGGCTCAAAAGCCTAACCGCAAGGCAGCGGTGTTTGGCGGGAAATGCAAATGCATTACCATTTCTACGGAACAAGTCGCCACATGTTCCAACCCCCAACCTGGAGGGCCAGGAAACTGTGTTCGTCAGACCTCTAACCATTGACCAACCTGGTATGAGAGACTCTGTGAGTGTCGCGAGACACTCTCCAGTATAGCTCAATGGATCGCTGAGGTGCGCAAACCGTCACACCATGGTAAGGTCCAGTCTCTTCGTGACTCCGATACACTCTGGGATGAAGATAGAAAGCTTCAGAAACTGTTCAAACCGTGAACAGGGCAATTGCTGCAGGTCGAAGACCTGAGCAAATGAAGAAATAAATTACCACTATTTGGTAACCTCAAATACATAATTACATGGGCTTCCCATGTGCTAGTCACACTAGTGAAGTGGTCAACCACAATCAAACAGAACGAACTACATCTAAATATATTGCTTACGCAAAGACGGTATGCGATTTTCAGCAGCTTCCTTCAGCTTCGTGAGGCGGAGATCCTCCAGGCGACTACGGTCTCGTTCTATAGAACGAACCTCAAGAGCAGAGGCAAATTGTTCTAGGGTTGATTTGGAAACCAGGGCATTCAGCTCGACTTCTACCAAATGGAACGCGTGACCCGGGGGTACGTGCTTCAGGTGGCGCCAGCGCTTTCGCAGTGCCTAAGTCATGTTTACAAACAGAAAATTAGGATGAGCGAACGAGTATGGCACGCATTTGTAGGCAATAAGATATGCGCCTGTAATCTTAAGGTGATAATTGTGTGAGACTTCCATGAGTTTTATAAAGCGGTCACTCAAACGGTTTCCATATGCATCATACAATAGCGTTTCCTGTGACACAGACTGCTCTGGTCAAAATGATCCCTAATGACGAAACCCACTAAAAAGATCGTCTAAATCTTAAGTGACCTTAAGTTCAACATTCAATTGATATGCAATATATGGTGTCCTTATACATGAGATACGATACACAAAATATTACGTACTAAATTATCCTCCCCATCGGAACCTGCTCGAAATATGATTCGCACAAGATGAGTGAAAATCAGGAACTCCGTTCAAACTGAAGTAGGTGCTCCGTGACCTTTCCCGATCCAAAGGTGCAGAAACTGAAACATACGTGATCGACGAAAGTTCAGATATCATTAGGCAGTATTAGTAATACACGCCGGAAGTAACCACTAGTCACGCTCACCTATTGTACATCTTGGCTCACTTTAATAATGCAAGCTGTCAATGTTCCACCGGGTTTGGTGAGTATATCGGCTTTGAGGTACTGAGGCTCGCCAGATGGTTTTAGGAGAAAAGAACTTTCCTAAAATGGACGAGCTAATCGTACCGCATAGGTTACGCTGGTTAGGACATATGGTCCACATAGAAGAGGATCGTCTTTCTCGCAGATTTTTTCGTCTAGCCTTGTGCTGAATGGAAGCAACTGAGAGATGGACAGTGCATGACCTGGCAACGAAGTATGAGAGCAATACTCTACTACTACTCGTTCAGCCGTAACACCCTTTCGGCGTCTAGCTGCCGTGCCGTCCGAAGGAAGCACGGGGGCTGGGATACTGCCAGGTTGCCCAAGCCTAGACAAATGAAGTTGAGAAAGGTCGGGTTCGAACCACAGACCCTCCGGTCAGTAAATTCACGCTCTAACCACTTGAGCCACCTCGCCCCATGAAAGCACTAACCAGTGAACTGAATTAAACATCTGTCTGCTTGGATTTGGATCCCGGGACTCACCTTACCAATGACTGATGACAGTCATGCTCATGCATCAAAGCAGTCGCTTTTATTACGTACCTCCCCGAACTGACTGATTGTAACATCGCCTGCAATGCTTGGCCATCTCTCCTGATGACCGACACTACGAGCTGGAACGAACACAGCATTGCTACATGGTTTATATCTAACAAAGTCAACTGATGCTGAGACCGGTCCATCTGGAACGACTCACGAAAATTATCTAAAAACAACCTGCTTGTCATGAACATTCTTTGTGCTCACATTACATTATTGTATTAACCATGCCTTCGCCTTCATTTTCAGCTTATGTAAGTCTATTCTTAGACAAGTAAAGCGCTATTCATTCTTGTTCTCGCCCTCAATCAGAATCGATATTCTATTCATAACAATTTACTTGTCTAAGAATACAATGGAACCGTTGCTGCCACCCAAGTGTTTCGACGCAGATCCTAATTCTACAGACGCAACAACGCGTTGGAATCATTGTTTCCGAACGTTTCTGGGCACTGTCGAATCGCCCAATCTGATAAAACTGGAAACTCTGATCCATTTTGTGGATGCACCTGTATACGTTTATATCGCTGACTGTCCAGATTACGAATCAGCTATCAGCACGCTTGAAAAGTTGTACGTTCGTCCTAAGAATATAATTTATGCTCGCCATCTTCTGCAAACTTGCAAACAAGACACCAGTCAAGATGTTGATCAGTTTGTTCAGAGGCTTAAATCCTTGGCCAAAAATTGTGATTTCAAGGCCGTGTCCCCTATTGACCATCAAAATGAAAGTGTACGCGATGCTCTAATCAACGGATCTCAGTCTACTACCATCAGAGAAAGACTTCTGGCTCAAAACGAACTCACTCTCGATGAAGCACATGAATTGGCTAGGTCATTAGAATTGACCCACAAACAAGCGCAGGCATACTCACATAACCAGGCGATATCATTTTCTGCGGCTGCAGCACCTTTACAGACATCTACAGTTACCCCTTCACACTCAATCTCCCCTGATTCTACACTCTATCTCTCGTCAATCAATTCTCAGATATGTTACTTTTGCGGTCGTCCCAGACACCCACGGTCAAAAGAGAAGCAGTTTGTAAATCATGTGGCAAAGCAGGTCATTTTCAGCGTGTTTGTCGATCCAAATCTGTAGAGAATCACTCAAATTGCACGACGGATTCTGCCTTATCTTCCCTGTTGACTGCTGCGGCCCCGAACTGCTTGTCTCGCACGGTGACCAGCATAAAGGTGAACGGGATATCGCTTCAGGCCCTCATAGACACAGGAAATTCGAGCAGTTACATATCTCCTTTGGTGGTTGGTAAACATGGCTGGAAGGTATATGCTAACAATTCTGTGATTACCATGGCATCTACCTCTCTGACGTGTTCAACTAGAGGCTACTGCTACGCATCCATCGATTACAGGGGCACCGTTTACAAAAAGATCAAACTATTGGTATTACCCAATCTATGTGCTGACCTGCTGCTAGGCCATGACTTCCTTGGTC